CCGCAACGGGGGCGGCAGCAGGGCAGGGCCGCGACGAAGACGAGGGCAGGGCCGCGACTGAGCAGGGCCGGGCAGGGCAGGGCCGGGACAGGGCCAGGGCAGGACGGCAGGGCAGGGCAGGGCCGCGACGTAGACGGGGGCAGGGCCGCGACTGAGCAGGGCCGGGCAGGGCAGGGCCGGGACAGGGCCGGGGCAGGACGGCAGGGCAGGGCAGGGCCGCGACGAAGACGGGAGGGGCCAACGCGCGGCCCCCCAGGGCGCCGTGACGGGCGACAGAAGGGGCGACGCGCGGCCCCCCCAGGTCGCCTCGACAGGCGACGGGAAAAGGGGGGGGGGTGCGCGGGCCCCCGGTGCGCCGCGACAGGCGACGAAACCGCCGCACGCCTCGGGGCGCACGACGGGCAGGGCACCGTCGCGCGCCATGGGGCGCACGACGGGCAGGCAGGGCGTCGCGCGCTCTGCAGGGCGGCGCAATGGGCAGAAAACCGCCGCGCGCCCCGAGCGCACGGCGGGAAGAAAAAGTGCCGCGCGCCATGAGCGTGCGGCAGCAGGAAAACGGCGCGCGGCCGAGGCGCGCGATAGGCAGGACAGCAGCGGAAGCAACGGTGGGCCCATGCACAGGATCGACCCAGAAGGGTCGACCTGCTCTGATAGCATGTTAGAATCAGCAGTTGAAAGTTAGAAACAAGAAAGAGGAGTTTCACTAGCAGACAGTTGAGTACATATAGCAAACCCTAAATTGGGCTGTACTCACTATTGAGTACCCCACTGCAGGCTAGACAGATATAACATTCTGACAGTACAACCGTGCAGAAGGGCACGGCACCTACTGCTGCACTTCGTCGTCAGCGTCGCCGACGTCGGCTAGGCGTATTTGGCCGATTGCGATAGAGCACCGGTTGAAGGCCAGAAAGTGGAGCGCCTTCGTCAAGAAGTCGACCAGCTGCTCGGTGGTCGGGATAGATCTAAGCACGAATTTCCCCTGATTTACCATGTGCTGCAGCCAGGCATATTGCCGCTCCATGTGCTTGAGGTTGCCCTACAGCCCCAAGCCCTCGGCGATCGTGATGGCCAACTTGTTGTCCACCCGAAGGATGGTCGGCGTCCCAGCATCCAGCAGCTGGAACTCTGCAAGGAGGAAGCAAAGTCGGCGTCTCTCCTTGCCGGCCTCGGTGGCCGCAACGTACTTTGACTCGGTCGGAGAGAGCGTCTCGCACTTGATGCGCTGGCTCGACCAGGAGGCTGCGGCCATCCGAAGACGAACACGTAGCCGCCCGTGCTTGTCCGATTCAACTTGTCACCGGCGTCGTCAGCGTCCACGTAGCCGACCAACTTCAGCAACTTTGCTCCACCGCCAAACGCCAGGGCGGTGTCACGGGTGTCGGCGAGGTAGGTGAGGCGGCAGTCGACCTCGCGCCATTGCTGGTTGCTCCTTAACGTGAGGCCGCTCCCCTGCTTGCTGCAGGCGCAGGCGATGTCTGGCCTCGCCGTTGTCGCCGCAAACTGCAGCGAGCCGACCTTCTGCTGGTACTCCTCACGCTCCTGAGTCTCCTCGTCGTCGAACGTCAGCTCGACGTAGGCGTCGACAATGACCGACGTCTTCGGCACTCGCACCGTTTAATCCTCGTCGATGAAACTCCTGCGCAGCTTGTCGGCGTAGCTCTGCTGGTGCAGCCACAGCTTCCCCGCCGGCCTGTCGTGCACGATCTCCAGCCTGAGGCACTTCACGACCGGCGAGATCTCGTGCAGCTCAAAGGTGGCCTCCGGCAGCTCCTTCAGCTCCCTCAGCATCGTGGTGCTGCTGCTGGCGGCGAGAAGGTCGTCGACGTAGACCAGCACCCAGCACGTCGCCCCATCATTCGTCGGCCTTAAAGTATAGCTCAGAGTCGACTTGGCTCTTCTTCCAGTCAGCGCTGACCAGCATGTCATAAAGTGCCTTGTACCACAGCAGCGGCGTCTGCTTCAGCCCGTACAGGCTCTTCAACAGCTTGCACACCCGGCCGGTCCCGTCGTCGTAGTAGTCCGGCTGGTACATGTAGAGCACCCTGTCGAGCTTGCTCTGCAGGAAGGTGTTCTTCATATCGAGCTGCATCAGGTTCCGGTCCAGGACGGCGACGATGCTGAGGAAGATCCTCAGCGTGACGTAGCTGCTGACCGGCACCTATGTCTCGTCTTAGTCGTCGTCATACACCTGCGTGAAGCCCTTCATGACCAGCCTCGCCTTCTCGCGGGCGACTGTGTCGTCGACGTGGTACTTGGTCATCAGGACCCATCGGTTCTTCATGATGTTCACCCCGCGTGGGCGTTCGACCAGCTCCCAGGTGCCCATGCCGATGAGGCTGTGGATCTCCTCATCCATGGCGGCCTTTACCGCCTTGCCCTTCCAGCTTGCCAACGCCTCCTTCACCGTCATCGTCACAACTGTCCAAACGGTGCTCGGGGTCAGCGTGCATGTCCGGTTCGAGGTCCGGCAAGTCGACATCGGCGTCCGCATCGTCGAGTAGCGTGGTGTAGGCGGCTGGCGGCAGGCATACGTGGTAGGTCAGTTGCTCCAGCGGCCTCCGAATTCGGCCTGAACGTTGCAGCTCATGCTTCTCGTCGCTGACCTCCACCACATCGCTCTCGGTGGACTCCTCACCCGCCGACTAATCCCCTTCATCGTCGCCAGTCTCGCTGTCCTCACCGGCCTACTGCACCAAGGTTGGCCGCTCAGCCGACTTCTCCCCTATCGTTGGCTCCCCTATCGTCGGGTTCCCTGTCACACCGACTTGCTTGGCATTATGTTAGCCACTGGCGATGCTGCTGGTCGGCGCCATAGGCGACGCCCCACTGCTCCCCTCATTGCCGGAGGCGTCAGCCCATTCAGGTCGGTTACGAGGGGTGGGGAGATAAGAGGATTAGGAGGGGCGTCCTCGGCGTCCTCATCAGCAGGGCTCACCGATTTTGGTGAGCAATGGGAGTGTCGCCGTCGAGGTGTTCGTCGGCGGGTTGACCTGCATCCGCCCCGACGCCGGCCCATGTTCCGACTTCCACACTTCCAGCGACATGGTCTCATTAAACACCACATCCGACGTGGTGACCACCTTGTTGTCGGTGAGGTCGAGGACCTCTCAACCCTTGCTCTCCTCCGACACGCCGAGGTGAAGGCCCCACCTGGCCTTAGGCGCCAGCTTTCCACCGCGCTGTTGATCAGGGACCAGGAACTGCGCCATGCAGCCCCACACGCGTGCCAGCGTCAAGTCGGGCTTCTTCCTGGTCAGTAGCTGGTACGGCGTCGTCCCTGGCGGCAGCGTCGATCTCTCCAAGAAGTTGCACACCCAGACGGCCTGCCGCAGAGCGAGGTACCACCAGTGGTACCCCATGTGCAGCAACATTGTCCGCACCGAATCAACCACCGTCCTCATCTCCCGCTCCGCCATGCCGTTCTGCTGCGGAGTGTATGGCAGGTTAAGTCGGCACGATGCCCATGCCGTCCACGAAGTCGGTGAACTGCTTCCCGAAGAACTCCCCTCTACGGTCAGAGCGTAGCATCAACACCGACTTCTTCGTCTGCCGCTCAGCCAACAGCAGCCACTTCTCGAACTCCCGCAGCAACTCAGACTTCTTGGCGACTGGCCACACCCACACGTAGTGGGTCTTGCGTTCCTTCAGCAGCAAGAAGTACAAGCTGCCATCCTTGGCGGCCACCCGAAACGGCCCGCATAGGTCGATGTGCTCGACGACCAAGGCGTCGTCGGCGTCCGAGTCCTTGTCGGGGAAGGTGTGCCGCACCAGCTTCCCACCGACGCGGGACACGCACGGCAGGTCGGCGCTGGCCGACAGCTTGATGACCAGGCCGATGGCGACTCGTGCTTCACCGAGCTCGTGATGGTGTCGACGCCGACATGTGCAAGCCTCACGTGCCTCCTGGCCGGCATCGACTTCGTCGCTGTAGCGATGGTCCGCAGGGCCACCGTCGCTATTGGGGCCATCGTCGACGTCGCCGTGCACAGTCGCAAGTCAGTGCAGAGGACCCGGCCGGTATATTTCGCCCGACCAAGCACGTCCCCCGCCGCCGAGACGAGCAGCATTTCGTCGACGTCGTCCTGCAGTCGCACGCCGCTCTCCTGCAGCTGGCCGGCTGACATCAGTTTTGCCTGCACGCCCGGGACGTAGAGCATGTCGGGGATGAGCACCTGCTTCCCGGCCTCCCCTTGCAAGGCGGCTATGCCCCGGCCCTGGACGTCCTGCAGCAAGCCATGCATATGCATGACGTCGCCGCTTAACCCAAGGTCAACGAAGGGCTCCTTTGTGTTATGTGATGCTATCATTTGCATTCACGTCTGTCTGCCTCCCATCATATGTTCGTGTGTTGCATGCGTGGTGTGAGCGTGTGCAAGAATCTGTGTTTGGCATGGTTTGGATTTTCTGAGTGTGTGTGAATGTTATTTGGCTTGAGCAGATATCTGAAGTGACTCCTCTGCTCAAGAGCTTCCCGACGAACCGAGAATCGCCTTGATCGAAGCAAGAACGAGAAAGATATGATCGTGTGTGTGTGTGTGTGTGTGTGTGTGTGTGTGTGTGTGTGTGTGTGTGTGTGTGCATGTGTGTGTGTGTGTGTATGTGCGTGTGTGTGTGTGTGCATGTGTGTGTGTGTGCATGTGAGTGTGTGCATGTGTGTGCGTGTGTGTGTGTGTGTGTGCATGTGTGTGTGTGTGTGTGTGCATGTGTGTGTGTGTGTGTGTTTGTGTAGGTGTGTTTGTGTGTGTCTGTCTGTGTGTGTATCTATGTGTGTGTGTGTGTGTGTGTGTGCATGTGTGTGTGTGTGTGTGTGCGTGTGTGTGTGTATGTGCATGTGTGTATGTGTGCATGTGTGTGTGTGCATGTGTGTGCGTGTGTGTGTGTGTGTGTGCATGTGTGTGTGTGTGTGTGTGTGTGTGTGCATGTGTGTGTGTGTGTGTGCATGTGTGTGTGTGTGTGTGTGCATGTGTGTGTGTGTGCGTGGGAATGAGTGTGAGTGCATGTGGGTGCATGCCTGGTGTGTGGCACAGGGAGAGGAGGCGCAAGGACAAGCAGGCAGTGATGACCATGCTGCTCACGCACTGCCCCTCCAACCCCCTCACCCACCTCGTACGCCCCTCACCCACCTCGTACGCCCCTCACCCACCGCCTACACGTTCATTCCACCCTTCACTTCGCAGCAATACATTCCCGCTCTTGTTCTTGCTGCTGCTGCTGCTGCTGCTGCTGTTACTGTGTCTGTTGTGTTTTCACTGAATTCATCTCATTTACTGCTGTCAACCCCGAATCCCCTTTAATCCGGCCCACTCCACTCCAACTTTTCCCCTCTGCTCCCCTCTCGCCTCAACCCCCCTTTTATTTACATTATGTGTCCAGACGCGCACGGGCAGCGAGTCACAAGTGTTTGGCATCTGCCCGGACTCCAGCCAGCTGCTCTTCTACGAGCCACCGCCCGACCCCCTCTCCTCCACAGGCACGGGCAAGCTCGCAGCGTTAGCAGGTGGACGGCGTAGCTTGGCAGTATCTGTGGAGCGGGCGGTGTGGCAGGGGCACAGGCGACTGGCACTGCGGACGGACCTGGAGGTGATGCTCGCCTGCTCGCTCTCATGCCGCCCCCTTGCCACCCCCTTGCCACCCCCTTGCCGCCCCATTGCCACCCACTTGCCACCCCCCCTTGCCACCCATGTGCCAACTCCTTGCCGCCCGCTTGCTGGCCCCTTGCCACTGCGTGTGTTGTCACGTCATCCCTGGCTGAGGCAGCCCTCTCGTCGTCTTTGCAGCAGCCGTGTTGCACATGTGGCGGATGGTGCACTCACTCTGCCACGCGCTGCTCTGCCCTGCTCTGTGGCTGGAATATATGTTTATAGAGCTGGGTTCCATCAATCCGTGCACTGCGTGCACATGCTGCATGCATCATGCATCATGGGTCATGACCCCCTAGTCACCGTCACATTGCACATCACCATACCATGAAGCCTTACTCACCTTCAGGTTCCCCCTCCCTCCTCCCCATGAACTCCACTCCCCTCCACGTGTGCGGTGTGGCCTGCCCCCATGGCAGGACAGTGGCATCGACATCTGTGCGCCCGAGGTGCTGTACCTGTACACGGACAACTTTGACTACCAGCACCCCCGACGGGACTTCCTGCGCGGCATTCTCAATGATGACGTGAGCATCCATCCTCCCTCGATCACCTCATGCATTGCACCCCCTATTGCCTCTTCTCTCATAGCCCCACGTGCACACCAGCAACGGCAGAGCAGCAAAGGAAGTGAGAACCGTTTTTTCTCCCTTTTCCTTTCATAGCATAGCATCACATGTGATGACGTCATGAGCTGTGCCCACAGCGGTGGGGGCCTCTGGCCCCCAGGGCGGGCTGAATTCATTGGCAGCCCGTGTTGACCCACCAGTCAACGCATCCATGGCTGCCCATGCCAGACTCCCGCCCACACCAACCAAACTGCCCCTCGTGGCATCTTCGTCTCATGCTAATTCTAATGCTATGCTGTCACCTCGCTGTGATGTTCCTGTGCCATGCGATTGTAGCACGCCGCTGCCATGCGAGCTTCTCTCACTATGTTGTGTCATCATGCCACCTTATTCCCTGCGATGCTCTGTGATCCCTCTATGCACTACCCGCTTCTCCCACACAATGTCATCTGCATGCCATCTTGCACTCCCCCACTTCATACCTCGCACCAATCCTTTCCCTCTTGCCCCTCCCCCCTTCGTCCCCCTCCACACTGTGTATATCAGATCATGGGCAACAAGATCTTCACGCACGAGATCAAATCGCAGTACGCCGCCCGCATAGACACGCTGCGAGCGTATGCAGGCGTGTCAAGGGATGTGCTGCGGCGCTGGGCCTTCCCCCTCGCGCCTGACTGTGCCTTCGGGGCCCACAGCGGCCGCACTGTTGTCACCCGTGGCAACCGGTACCGCGAGGAAGGTAAGAGGAAGGTGTGACGAAGGTCGGAGGAAGTTGAGAGGAAGGTATGGGTAAGGTGGAAGGAAGTTGATTGAGAGGAAGGTGAGAGGAAGGCAGGTTGGGCATCAATGAACCTGCAGATGGAAGCTCTCCCTATGAACAGGAGCCATGCACGTTCATGTGAAATGTATGTGAGCAGCAGTGGAGGGGCATGTGAGTAGTGCATGTGCAAACGAACCTCACTCATAGAGTAAGGTGGGTGCACTCAGCTTGGCATGCGAGGTTGCTGCTGTCCCCCCCCTCTCCTTCTGCCCCACCTTGCGCCCATTCTCTCACATCACCACTCCTCTCCCTGGCTCCGCCTGTTCACTTGGGCTGTGTCTTTGGCGCTCTGTGCCAGGGTCGCACTGTTTGACACTCGTTTCTCTCTCGCTCTCTCTTTCCTGCACTGTCCGCACCCTCTCCTCCCCTCCATGCCCCCCTGCCCGCCCCCTTCCCCCCATGCCCCCCTGTCCACCCCCTTCCCCCCCATGCCGCCCTGTCCGCCCCCTTCCCCCCATGCCCCCCTGTCCGCCCCCTTACCCCCCATGCCGCCCTGTCCGGCCCCTTCCCCCCATGCCCCCCTGTCCGCCCGCTTCCCCCCATGCCCCCCTATCCGCCCCCTTCCCCCCATGCCCCCCTGTCCGTCTGCAGCGGTGTCAGTGGCGCGGTCAGCAGTGATAGGCGGTGACACGCTGTTAGGGGAGGGCACGGTGGTAGCAGAGAGGGCGGTGGTGCGCGGGTCAGTGCTGGGGGCGCACTGCCTCGTGGGCGAGGGGGCCGTGGTGGAAGGAAGCTACCTGTGGGGCGGCGTCACGGTGGGCGCGGGCGCTGTGGTGCGGCATGCGGTGCTGTGTGACGGTGTGCAGGTCATGGCTGGCAGCACTGTGCACCCCGGCTGTGTGCTCTCTTTCGATGTGTGTGTGCTGCTGCTGGGATGGCACATAGGGCAGGGGGAAGGGGGTGGGCATGTGGTAGGCATGTGGGGATTTGGGGATGTGTGGCTGTGGGTGTGGGGATGTGTGAGTGTCGGGATGTTTGTATGTGGGGATGTGGGGATGTGTGAATGTGGTGGTGCGGCATGCGGTGCTGTGTGAGGGCGTGCAGGTGATGGCAGGGGGCACCATCAACGCGCGGCTGTGTACTCTCCTTTGATGCGAGCGTGCTGCTGCTGGGACAGCGGGAGGAAGGGCGTGCTTGGTGCCGTGCAGTCATGGCAGAGGGGCAAGGGGATGTGGGGATGTGGGAAAATGTGGGGATGTGGGAAGATGTGGGGATGTGGGAAGATGTGGGGATGTGGGAAGATGTGGGGATGTGGTGTTGAGGTGGCAAGTGGTGTCCACTGGGCTGTTGCTGCTCGTCTCCCCTCCCTCTTCCTTCACGCATTTGCACACACACACACATATGCACGCAGACATGCATGCATCCACGCGGGCAAACACACATGCATGTGTGCACGCACACACATGCCATTCTCTCTCACCCGCTTCACCCCTCTGTCCATCCCTTCTCCCATAGTAGGTGGTGGTGGCAGCCAATCACGTGGTGCCAGCTGGCACACGCATAGCGAGGGAGCAGCAGCCGGAGGAGGAAGGGAGCGATGATGAGAACACAGAGGGGCATGGCATGGGTGAGAGCAGGGATACTGGGAGATGGGTGGGATGGGATGGGAAGGGGTGGGTGGCATGGCATGGCATGTCGGGGTGTGATGATGAGAACATGTAGCAGCGAAGGTGAAGGCACTGGCTAAATGGGATGTACTTTGATGTACTTTTTTTTTTTGCATGATCCTCAGTAAAGGCATTGGCTTTGACAATATAATAGTTGCAAATGAGAAATCTAAATCTGTTTCAACCTATCTGTTGTCTTGTCTTTTTTTTCCGTTGGCGTTTTCGTGTGCTGCGTGTGTCGTGGGCCCTTGCTCTCTCTCGTTCGCCTGCCCTCCTCGCGGCATAAGCTCCACCTGCAGTGCGCAGGCAGCAGGGCAAGCGAGGTGATGAGGAGGATGAGGATGAGGAGAGAGAAGAGGATGAGGAGGAGGAGGAGGAGGAGGATGAGGAGGGAGAGGAGGAGAAGGAGCAGCTATCAGATGAAGACGAGGGTCCGTGTGATGTGCAAGCGGTGAGTGCCATGCGACGTGCTGACATCGCTTGTGCTGTGCATAATTTTCAGTGTCCATGTCCCACATCGCCCCCACCTCTCTCCTTCCCACCTCCCTCATACCACCTTGCCCTCGCACCTCTCATCGCTCCCTTCCTTATTAGCAGCCCAGCAAGGAGACTTGGCATTGTCGCCAAACCCTCCATCCATCCCTCTTCTCCTCCTCCCTACAGCCCGCCCTCTCCCCCTTTCTTACCCGTCCCCCTCCCCATTGCCCCCTTCCCCGTCCACCCCCCCTGTCGTCCTTCCCCCATCTCTTCCCCCATCTCTCCTCCCGTATCCCCCCTCTCCTCTTCCCTGCTGGCAGGTGGGTGCGGGTGGAAAGGCTTTGCCGGGGAAGGGAAGGGAGGGGGCATGGCATGGGCACCAAACCCGCCATCCGTCCGTTCCTCCACCCCCTGTGCCTGGCCCACCTCTACCCCCTTCTTACCCCCCCCTTCCCCTCCCTCCCTCCCCCGCCATCCTCCCTTCCACCCCCCCGCCCTTCCCCCCGGCAGGTGGGCGAGGGCGGGAGGGGCTTCGCCTGGCCACCCAGAACCCCCGCTGCAGCAGCCGTGGTGCGGCGGCAGTCACTCGCACCAATCACAGCGCTCGAACTCGCTGAGCTGGCGAGACTGGCGATTGGACGGGAGGAGGGCGAGGGGGAGGAGGGGGAGGAGGAAACAGGAAGGGAAGGAGGGGCGGCACTGGTGGGAGGGGAGGAAGAGGAAGAGGAAGAGGAAGATGAGGAGGAGGAGGATGGGGAGGACGAGTTTAGCAAAGAGGTGAGCCGTGTGGGGAGGAGGGGTGGTGGGAAGGGAGAAGAGGCGAGATGATGGGCCGAGGGTCGGGGAGAGATGGGGGACGAGGAGAGGCATGGCGATTCAAAGGGGAAAACAGAGGAAGCAATGACGAAGACGGGAGGGAAAGGGCAAGAGAGGAAGAGAAGACATTAGTAATGGATATGCATGGGGGTCGGGGGACGATTGCTGCAGGGATGATGGAGGATATGTGTGTGGTGCCATGGGCATGTGGTGCCATGGGCATGTGGTGCCATGGGCATGTGGTGCCATGGGCATGTGGTGCCATGGGCATAACGCTAAATTTGATATCCATGAGTCTCTTAATGGTGCATGGATGCATGGCCTGGCGTGGCGTGGCGTGGCATGGCATGGCATGGCATGGCATGGCAGGTGGAGGAGATGTTCAAGCGGGCCGTGGCGGAGGGGGTGGCACAAGACAACGTGGTGCTGGAAGTCAACGCGCTCAAGTGAGTGGTCAACGCGCTCAAGTGAGTGGTCAATGCGCTCAAGTGAGTGGTCAATGCGCTCAAGTGAGTGGTCAATGCGCTCAAGTGAGTGGTCAATGCGCTCAAGTGAGTGGTCAACGCGCTCAAGTGAGTGGTCAATGCGCTCAAGTGAGTGGTCAACGCGCTCAAGTGAGTGGTCAACGCGGTCAAGTGAGTGGTCAACGCGCTCAAGGGAGTGGTCAACGCGCTCAAGTGAGTGGTCAACGCGCTCAAGTGAGTGGTCAACGCGCTCAAGGGAGTGGTCAACGCGCTCAAGTGAGTGGTCAACGCGCTCAAGTGAGTGGTCAACGCGCTCAAGTGAGTGGTCAACGCGCTCAAGTGAGTGGTCAACGCGCTCAAGTGAGTGGTCAACGCGCTCAAGTGAGTGGTCAACGCGCTCAAGTGAGTGGTCAACGCGCTCAAGTGAGTGGTCAACGCGCTCAAGTGAGTGGTCAACGCGCTCAAGTGAGTGGTCAACGCGCTCAAGTGAGTGGTCAACGCGCTCAAGTGAGTGGTCAACGCGCTCAAGTGAGTGGTCAACGCGCTCAAGTGAGTGGTCAACGCGCTCAAGTGAGTGGTCAACGCGCTCAAGTGAGTGGTCAATGCGCTCAAGTGAGTGGTCAATGTAGTCAAATGAGTCAACGCCTTGTAGCTGTGTGCTGGTCTGGCACACACTGATATTTCCTCCTAACTTCTTCCTATTCTCCGCACTTCCTCTGTGCGTAGTCTCTCTTTTCACATCCCTTTGAGCCCCCTCCATATCCTACCCTTTCAGCCCCCTCCATATCCTACCCTTTGAGCCCCCTCCATATCCTACCCTTTGAGCCCCCTCCATATCCTACCCTTTGAGCCCCCTCCATATCCTACCCTTTGAGCCCCCTCCATATCCTACCCTTTGAGCCCCCTCCATATCCTACCCTTTGAGCCCCCTCCATATCCTACCCTTTGAGCCCCCTCCATATCCTACCCTTTGAGCCCCCTCCATATCCTACCCTTTGAGCCCCCTCCATATCCTACCCTTTGAGCCCCCTCCATATCCTACCCTTTGAGCCCCCTCCATATCCTACCCTTTGAGCCCCCTCCATATCCTACCCTTTGAGCCCCCTCCATATCCTACCCTTTGAGCCCCCTCCATATCCTACCCTTTGAGCCCCCTCCATATCCTACCCTTTGAGCCCCCTCCATATCCTACCCTTTGAGCCCCCTCCATATCCTACCCTTTGAGCCCCCTCCATATCCTACCCTTTGAGCCCCCTCCATATCCTACCCTTTGAGCCCCCTCCATATCCTACCCTTTGAGCCCCCTCCATATCCTACCCTTTGAGCCCCCTCCATATCCTACCCTTTCTCTCGCTCCCCTCCTCCCCTCGCCGTCCCTGTCAGGCTGGCATACAACCAGTCATACCCTTCCCCCCGACCCCCATTCTCTCCCCCTCTCTCCCGGCACTCCCCTTCTCCCCCCCACGTCATCGCGTGCCAGGCTGGCATACAACCGGTCCTTTGCGGACTGTGCGGGGGCCATGTTTCGAGGCATGCTCAACCTCGCGGCCTCGCAAGCTGCCCCCGGGGCACCCACCAGTGAGCGCACCCACCAGTGAGCGCACCTACCAGGGAAACACCCTTCCTGGTGGACTCATATGCACATCCCCCCCTCAACCTCTCCTCAACCACTCCAACACTCCACCCCTGTGCTTCATCTGCCTCTCTCCTTAGCGTTCCTCGCCTCCCTGCTTTCCCACCCTGCCCTGCCCCACCCCTTGTCCCACCCGCCAATCTTCCTTGCCCATCCGTCCCCCCTGTCTCTTCCCCCCTTCCTGTCCATTTATCCACCACGCCCCTGCTCTCTCACCCCTTGCCTGCTCCGCTGACCCTGCCCCTTTCCTGCCCGCCCGGTCTGCCCCTGTCCTCCCTTCCCCACCCGCCATGCACTTTCCCTGCCATGCCCTTTCCCTGCCATGCCCTTTCCCTGACCCCCCCGCCATGCCCTCTCCCTGTCCCCCCCCCCCCCCCCCCTCCTCCGGCTCTGCCCGCGCCCGCCCTGCCCGTCCATCGTGGCTGCGCAGAGGAGCTGCTGGCATCAACGCGTGCCGTGGTGACTCGATGGACGTCGCTTCTGAGAAGGTTCCTCAAGGGCACCGACGACGAGGTGCGTTCTGTGCTGTGGGGGAAGGGGGATGGGTAAGGGGGGAGGGGGATGGGTAAGGAGGGAGGGGGAGGAGGGAGAGGGAGGAGGTGGGGGAGGGGACAAGGGAGGGGGTGGGGTGAGGGTGGGGGAGCGGAAAGGGGCCTAGGGGCAGAAGAAGGGTCAGGCGGCAGGGATGGTGAGTGCACGAAGGATCAGGTGTGAGGGGCGGGGGAGGGACTTGGACAGGCACTTGCCGCCGTCAATGAGAGCAGCACAGACGACGGGGTGGGTGGATGACGGGGCGGGTGGATGACGGGGCGGGTGGATGACGGGGCGGGTGGATGACGGGACAGGTGGATGAGGGGAAGAGACAGAACCAGTCATTTCAAAAAGTTTTCGTTGCCACTTCCCTGCCCATCTCCACATCATCCTCTCTCCCCCCACTGCGCGCCATCCTCCGCTTGTTTCAATCTCTGCCATTTCCCCCTTCCCCCTCTCACTCTCAACCCCCCTTCTTCACTGCCAACCCCTCTTTCTTTTGCGCTTCACTGCCACCACGGCATCATCCCCCTCTGTTCCCGGCAGGTGGAGGTGCTGCTGACGTTCGAGGAGGTGTGCAACGAGGCCCGCCCTGAGTTCGCCCCCATTTTTGTCAACGTGAGTGCCACCCAAAAGTGCCGCCCAGAGGTACCATTGGAGGTGGGCTGTGTGAGAATCCTGCCAGCCACTGGGCTGTCCGTTCCCTTGTTGCGTCTCTGCATTCCTGCCAGCCACTTCATCTCCAGCCTCCCTGCTCGCTCGTTCCTCGTCCCTCGCTCTGCTCTCTTCCCACGTATGGTCTGCCCTCAACGCCTTCACTGTGTGTCACCGTTCCCATCCCCAGGTGCTAGAGGCGCTGTACCATCGGGACATGGTGAGCGAGGAAGCCGGCATGCCACATCCCTCTCCCATGCCACTGCTCTCCTTCCGTTCTCCCTCCACCCCTCCCCCCCTCCTCGCTCCCGTCCGCAGGTACTAGAGGCGCTGTACGACAGGGACATAGTGAGCGAGGAGGCGGTGATGGCGTGGGCCGATGAGAAGCAGTTTGCCGACGCCGCTGACAAGGTCTTTGTCGAGCGATCCGCAGCGTTCATCAAGGTGAGATGAACGGTGCAAATCGAATCCTGCTGTGGTGTGGGCGTAACCCTCCCCCGTGTGTGGCACTGCGTGTGGGACTGGGGCAGTGTGAGTGTGTGTGGGACTGGGGCAGTGTGAGTGTGTGTGGGACTGGGGCAGTGTGAGTGTGTGTGGGACTGGGGCAGTGTGAGTGTGTGTGTGTTTGTGGTGCTGGCAGCACGGGTACCATGAAGCGTTGAAGGGCCATGCTTCACAGGAAGTGCCATGCTTCTCTTCTCGTTAATCTTGCTGGAAAGGCCATGCTTCTCTTCTCGTTAATTTTGCCAGCCCCCGTGTTGTGCTGCCCCTACTCTGCCCTTCCCCTGCCCCCTCTTCCCCCATTCACTGCACTCTTCCACTCCTTCTCTACCTGGCCCCATTTCCCGTTTTCTTCATTCCTCTCTCCCTCTTGGCTCATTCGCCCTTGCCGCTAGCCGTCCTCGTGCCACCACTCCAGTTCACCCCGACCCCAATGTGCATGTCCTAAGTTCCTTGCTTTCCCTCTGCTGCTTTTCACCCGCTGCTGCTGCTCCGTCTGCTCTCTGCTCTGCCCTCTCTACTGCTCTGCCCTCTAATGCTGCACTGCCCCCTCTGCTGCACTGCCCCTTGTGCTGCCTCTCTGCCCTCCACAGTGGCTGAAGGAAGCCGAGGAGGAGGAGAGCGATGATGAGTGAATGCCCGCCTTCACAAGCAGCTCAGTCACACAACCATCAGAGAACACTCATAGGATAGGAGGGAGCACAGTGGGTTGCACGACAGTGGAGGTGAAGTGAGCCAAGGCACAATACCTGCATGAGAGATAGAGCATGGAGTGATGTGCAAGAGTGTGATGTCATGTGATGTGACAATATTGTCAATGTAAAAGGGACTTGAGATGAAGTGGAGTGGATATGTGGTATCTCCATGTGGATTCAAACTGTGTTCCCCCCAAAAATGTTCTGCTACGGTAAAACTTGCCAGAGTACGGGTTGCTTCTCAAACTGCTGGTACCAGTAGTACCGTAAATTTCAACCAGGAAACGAGAGCTCGGTCGGAACTTTTATTACACTTGCCTAGTGCAACAAGAACTTACAGTACAAATGCGTTTTGAGGGCTATTGCACAGGAGACGGTTCATCTGGCCCAACAACCAGCCTATGACAGTGAAAAACGGAGGAACAGTGTTTTGCCGATGCACCTTACTCGCATCAGTTTATTCAATTGAACTATGGTAGTTACTGTTATAGCTAGTGTTAGCGGCTGCCATCATCCTAAGCATACGGAGAGACAACAACGCCCAACCTTCACATCTCGTACGCACACAAACTCGATGCTGCTACCTCAACTACGGTACTAGTTAGAACGCCTCTACACCTGCGCTGCAGAATGAAGGAACAATACTTGGGGATGCATGCCAGATTTCTCCTGTTCCTCCAACTGCTGCAGCCAGCCATAGGTGCAGGATTTGGCACATGCACTCCTTCAGCATTGGCAGCCCGTGTCTCTTCAACCGCATGGAAACCTGTTTGTCAAGCAGAGATATGCCTGAGCGTGAGCACCGAGAAGGGCCCATTATTCCTATGGTTTGGAAAGCGCATTTGCCCCCTACGATCCCTGCAGGGATGTGCCGTTTCTCCTACAGTGAAGCATGGCCTGTCTTCCCTTGAGCGACTTCATGGGCGTATCTGGTCAATACGGCTCCATGGCTGTGTGTCTGCTACGCTGATTCCACTGCCGTGTCACCTATGACCCCTAAGAAGATACAGGTGTGCCTCCTATGCAGATTCCACGGGGGTGTCGCGGGGCAGCTTGTTCCAGTTGGTTGAGCAGTTTCGCCCCTTCCACTCAAACCCCCGCTCCTCCATCCGCTCCCGGGCAGCCACGGGCAGCGCCGAAAAAAAGTCCCAGTCAGCCGCGAGGTGGTTCAGCACAGGCAACTTATTCCCCAGCCCCGGGCAGCAGTTGGCGTGCACGGTGAGCAGCGTAGAGAGCGCGTGGCCCATCTCACAGAAGCCCCCGAACTGGTTGGTGGGCAGGTAGTGCAGCAGCAGGGGCGAGGCCACGCGCGTGAAGGGGTTGGCCTCAGGACGGATCCAGTTGAACACCTGCTGTATGCGGAACTGAGGACACCTGGGGGAGGAAGAGAAAGGGGGGAACGTAGTCGCATGGGGCATGATGAAACACAAAGATGAACGCACACGGGGTAATGCTGACGACCTGCTGCATGCGGAGCTGGAGGCACATGTGAAGAGGGAACAGGGGGTGGGTGATATTTGTGATGTGATGGGCATGATCCGGGCAGTTACAAGGCAACACACATTGATAAAAATCAATACACATGTGATGCGATACTCACTGCTCACCTTCAGTGCCACGCCACCCAGTCACTGAAGAACTTTAGTGTGCGGGTGTTTGCGCTGGCGGCATAGAACCCCCCATTGGCCGCAACAGAAGCAAGCCACTCCAACTCCTACCTTCTGTGCCACGCGAGCCAGTCACTGAAGAACCGGAGCGTGCGGCTGTTGGCCCGGGCCGCGTAGAACCCCCCATTGGCCACCACGGAGCGCGGGTTGGGCGACCACCAGTCGGCGGACATCTGCAGGTCGTGCGGGCGGCGCCAGAGCAGCGGCAGCGGGTTGCGCAGCCAGAGGATGTCGGAGTCGGTGAAGAGCACGTCGTACCCGAGGGTCAGCATGCTTGTTACCACCGCCAACTTGCGCCACACCTGCCGGAGATGGGACAGCAGAAGGGGAGGAAGGTGTGTGAGAGGGACTTCAAGCATGGCTGATGCGCAGGCAGAGGATGTCGGAGTCGGTGAAGAGCACGTCGTAGCCCAGGGCCAGCATGCTTGTCACCACCGCCACCTTGCGCCACACCTGCCAGATAAGGCAGCAGGAGAGGAATAAGGGGTGTGCGAGGGATGTGAAGCATGGGTAAAGGGCAGGCACAGCAGGGGGAGTGGGTTGCGCAGCCAGAGGATGTCGGAGAAGGTGAAGGGCACGTCGTAGCCCAGCCCAGCATGCTCGCCACGACCTGCACCTTGCGCCACACCTGATGGGTGGGACAGCAGAAGGCGACGTGTATGCGTGTGAGAGGGAGATCAAGAGTGTCATTGGTGAGCTAGCATGCTTGCTTCCACCTGCCGCTTGCGCCATTCCTGTGAGTGGGAATGGCACGGCTGGATGCCAACGTAGAGGAGGAGCCAGCCAACGCGCTAGTATGAGGAATCTCAAGTGTGACAGATGAGCAGGAAAGGGTGTATTTGCCCCGAGGAGCTCACAGCGTGACAGGGAAGGGGTGATAAGCCTGCTGCTAAAATGAGCCCTTCACAACTCCCCAGCCCTCCGCCCCCACTGTGTCACCAAACGCCGGTGCAGCTGGAAAGTGCGAGTGGTTGGTGCATGGCTGCGGGGTGTCATGTGTGAGAGCCATCCCGTTCAGGAGCATTCCACGCCACTCGGCCACATGCACGCCTGCCACTAGTCCAACTCAAATATTCATACGCACCACGTGATTGTGATCCCACGCACCAGGTGTATATAAGCGCGCGTCATGAAGTGTTTCTGACCGCCGCCCAGGTCCTCGCGGTGAGGAGCGTCCTCCTGCCAGTCCATGTAGCAGTTGAGCGCCATGGCGCAGCACGCCTCGAAGCTCGCGTTGTCGTACGCTACCACCACCAGCCGCGCCACCAGCTCACCCAGCGCAGAGCTATACGCGCCCTCTTCCGCCCCCGCCTCCCCCTCCCCGTCTCCGTCTCCCCCCGTCTGATACCTCTCCGCTGTCCTTCGCTCGCTTTCCCTCTCCATCCCTTCAACCCCTGCGCGCCTCCGGATATCATCTCCGCCCCTCCCCTCCTCTCCTCCCCTTCCCTCCCCCTCCGCCCTCCTCTGGTCGCGCGCGCTCCGCTCCGCGCGCTCGACGGCGCGCAGGCGCGCGAGGAAGAAGCGCATCATGGGCGCCCACGCCTCGTTGAACGACACCACGATCACGGACCGCCGCGCGGCGCGCGCCAGCAGCTGCGCCGGCGACGCCGACTCCGCGTCCTCCGCGAACTCCTCGCCCGCCGCCGCCGTGTCGTCGGCGATGGTCATGCCGTCCCCGCCGCCTGCAGAAACGCCGTTGGCGGCGGTAGCAGCGCTAATAGCGGACTGCACGGCCGCCTCGAGGACGGACTGGAGCGTTCTGATGGGGCCGTGCGGTCGAGCGGACGATAGTGTGAGGATGCGGGGATGAGGGGATGCGATGATGCGGGGTTACGCGGGGATGCGGGGATGAGGGGATGCGATGATGCGGGGTTATGCGGGGATGCGGGGATGAGGGGATGCGGGATGTGAGGTTGCGGGGATGTACGCGACAAAAGGCGGTGAAGAAGGGGCGACAGACAAAAGCTTTCAACCATGATTAAAAGGTGTGGCAAGCCAAAAAAGGTGTCACATCCCTGCGAAACCGGAAAGCGTGTCTTTGTTCCATATAATGTGCGTGTGTCGCATGCGCACGTGCGTCCGTACCCGTGTGACTCACCTGCACTTTGAGCAGATCGACGCCTTCCCTTGTTGCCGTTCTTCCATCCCCCCAACGGCGTCCATCGCTCTGCTTGATGGCGCACCGCTCGGGGAGTTTCCCCGGAGCCGCGCAGGTCCGTCGGCGCTGCTCCCCTCCGACCACCCACGAAGCACCGACTCCGGAGCTTCTCCGCGCGAGGCGCCCCGCGCAGCGAGCGGGGACGCGCAATACTCCTCGCGGGTGAGCGGAGGCAGCGGCGCGGGGGTGGCGCGGGAGGAGGCGGTGGAGGTGGCGGAGCGGACGCGCAGGTGGAGGCGATTAAAGCCGGAGAAGAAAAAGAGGCACGTGAGGGACGACGCGATCAGCAGCCATGCGAATAGCGACTGGCGGCCCTTTAGCGACGCGATTGGGAAGAGCGAAACAGTGCAGAGGACGAAGGCTAGCGGGGGATTGGCCGAGGCCGAGGGTGACAGTAGCGGGTGTTCTATTCTGTGCAGGAGATGCATATGCGGGTTCGCCGCGCCTGTGAAGGAGTGCGATCGGTGCATTCGCGATCGCGAAATGGTGCTGTTTCCGCCGTACGGCGTGCCACTGCTGCCGTGATCGGGATGCACTGCGTGGCTGGGAGTGGAGCACTCCATCGCGAGGACGATGCGGGTTTTAAAGTATCGCCAGCATTAACCAAAACTATATCACCTCATTCGCTGGAACGACTGGATCGGTCACTATGATCTCAAACCTAATTTTACGTCAAAAGTCCTTCAGGGAAAATGCGTCGGAAACAGAAGCAGAAAAAAACAAATCAGCACGAGCTGGAATCGTGAGCCAAGAGCTTGGATTTGGGGGTTCACTTCCATGTACACACGATGCTCGGCCCCTGCGCGCGAGTTTGCGCTGTCCAGGATGGAAAGTCTGCGCGCGAGTTGCACCCACATTACAAGCCCCTCGAGCAAGTTGCACTGGTCATGAACCAATACGAACCACAGAAACTGAAGTCAAACAGAAGAGACTGAAGTCAAACTGTCAACGGGGAGTTACAAATGTGTTATAAGCCCTTTTTTGCTAGGTGCAACGTTGACGAAATTTGCGAATTGCCCAGAATCACTTAAAAGCCCCCTTCACAAGGCAACCTTGGGTTAGTCAAACGAGCATTCTGTATTGGATTCAGCTGACTACCTGCTGCAGTTGCAAGACCCCAAACAGATGTTCAGGACCTGCCACCCAGTCCGAGTCGCAGTCGCTTTCCCATTACAAATGCGATTTGGCTCAAAATTTCATGGTCAGATATGTCAGGCGCGCTTTGGGAAATAATGTAACAGTTGTGCAACAATCTGGTTCCTACAGTTTGAATGTGTGATTCTTGCTTTGTGTCATTCCTCTTACCTCATATGATAGTTCATCCAACCTAACGACTATTCAACCCATTACCACCCTTGATTATTTTCCCTTCCACTGATACTGGATGGGCTGTTCCACACGCCACGGTGGGTAAACCACGGCCCAACCATACGCCTCGACTTTCTGGAAAAAATTTATACAGATAAGAACTACAACAAAACACTACAACATAACATAACCAGCACAGCAGTATGTTAGAATCAGGAACGGAATGAATGAACTAGAAAGCAGGTGGGTACAAGTAGGAAACACAAAAGTGTTGTACCCTCTAAGAACTACCCCACTACCAGGGCCCACGATATCAGGGCAAAACATCCTGATTACCCTGATTTCATGATGGTGTTTTAAGTTTGCACTGGAATTTCAGAATGACGCTGAAATTCACCCTGTGACGTCAGGATGATTCACGTGTTTTGCCCTGGAATTTCAGAATGGCAGTGAATTTTTGCCCTGAAGCGTTAGGGTGAATGTAGAGGGATGCCCTGACTCGTGGGAAGGGGAAGAAGGGGTGGAGGGGGGGAGAGGGGGAGAGGGGAGGAAGGAGGCTGGGGGGTGTGTGTGCTAGTTTTGTCCCCACCCCTCTCCCTCCAAAGTTTTTGCTCAGCCAGTTGTAGTGAAACCACTGGACAACCTGCTCCTCTCGTGCCTTCCCCTCGTGCTATTTTTACCCTGAAACATCCATATGAATTTCTGCTTGTGCCCTGAAATTTCAGGATGGCCAGGGACTTTTGCCCTGAAAAATCAGGGAATTTTAGAAAGTTTTCAGAAGTTGCCCTGAGGGATCAGGGTGCCCTAAATCCTAGCACAGGCCCTGCCCACTACAGCCTAAACAGACAATAGCATATATAAGTTTGACACACCCCCATAGGCAAAGTGGGGGAGAGCAAGAGGTCACAAGACCAGTCAAGAAAAAGGCAGAGCAAGCTCAGGGTGGATCACAAAGTCACCACGCAGTCTGAGCACAAGCAAATGGCCACAAGGCCAGTTAACATGCAGAGTTTTATAAAGGAGAACAAACAATACAGTGAACACAACCTAGCAAGTATAAGCATGCAGGTATATGTATAAAGAGTACAGTACAAACAGAGTCAAGAAGAAAGTAAGTGAGGCACAGTAGGCACAAGGCCTAACACAGTACAAAAACGCTGATGATCACAAGGCTGAAGTGCCTTGGTGAAAACATCAGCAGTGTTGGCCTGAGAGGCCACGTAAGCAAGACGAAGCTGGCCACGCTGCTGCAACTCTCGAGCAAGGAAGTAGCGCAGAGCAATGTGCTTCGTTCTGTGCTCCAGTCTGTGCTCCTGACACAAGGCCAGCATGGCCTTGTTGTCGACGTACAGAACTGGAGGAGAACGAGGCGCCTCTCCCAAGTCGGTCAGCAGGTAGGTGAGCCAGCGTAGCTCCTGTGCAGCCATGGCCCCAGCGTAGATCTCAACCTCACAACTGGAGCTGAGAACAGAAGAAGAGCGGGTAGACCGCCAAGAGACAGAACCGGAGCCAAGACTGAAGGTGTAACCCTGTGACGACCGCTGCGTAGCCAAGTCGTCAACCCAGGAGGCGTCAGCGTGACCAGTGAGGACAACTCGAGCCCGTCCTCCAAGCACGAGCCCCATGCCCGATGTACTGCACAAGTAGCGCAACACCCTCTTCACAGCATCCCAGTGCACCTTTCGGTGCCTGCCGGGAGCCACGTAGCGAGCCAGAAGGCTGAGAGGGTATGCGAGGTCAGGTCGTGTGCAAGTCATCAGGTACATGAGGCAGCCCACAAGCTCTGGATACGGGCCACTCGGTTCTACGGACTCGTCCGAAGGTGGAGCTGAGAGGGAGTGACCGGTAGGCAGAGGAGTGGACTGTGGCGAGGAGTACGTGAAGCCGAAGCGCTGAAGGACCTGCTGCACCATGTGTGACTGAGTCAAGGTAATGGTGCGCTGTGCTCTGTCCCGGGTGATTCGCAAGCCAAGATAGCTTGTCAGCTCACCCAGGTCTGTGCACGTGTGTCTCTTCTGCAGCTCGGACTTCACGTGGGCGAGTGCCTCAGTGTCAGCAGTAGCAAAGACAAGGTCATCTACGTACACGAGAACGTAGAACGGCGGCAGAGTAGTGTCAGTGCGTAAAAACAGAGAAGGGTCAGAAGTGGAAGGAGCAAAGCCAAGAACAGCAAGAGTCGTCCTGAGTGTGTCGTGCCACTCACGGGGTGCCTGGCGGAGACCGTAGACTGGCCGCCGGAGGCTCCACTGGGTACCAGCAGGAAACGACCCAGTGAAGCCAGGTGGGCGGCGCAGCCAGATCTCCTCGTGCAGGCTGCCCTATAGGAAGGTTGTGCTGAAGTCAAGCGAGTGGAGCTCGTAGTCACGCTGAGCAGCTACGTGCAGCAGTACCCGAAGAGTGGTCATCTTCGGGGTAGGGGAGAAGGTCTGGAAGAAGTCAACTCCCTGTCGCTGACTGAAGCCACGTGCAACGTAACGCGCCTTGAAGACAGGCGGAGAACCCGGCGGCCGCTTCACCCTGAAGATCCACATGCCACTGACGATGTTCGCCCCAGGTGGGGGAACCTCGTCAACGTAGGTGCCTGTGGACTTCCAGGAAGCCATCTCGGCGTCCATGGCTGCCTGCCACTGAGAGGAGTAGGGACCCTCTATCGCCTCTGCGTAAGAGCACGGGGTCGGGATGTCTGGTGCATCCGGGTCTCCCTCAGGGGCAAGCAGCATGGACACGAGATGAGGTACAGCAGCGGCAAAGCACTCAAACTCCTCCTGTCTATCCTCAAGAACGTCCGTGCCAAGAGCACACTCACCCCCGACGGACGGAGGACAGACAGACGCAGACGCAGACTCAGCAACAAGACTAGTGGCGTAGTCTAGGCGACAGGCTGCAGCAAAGTCAACAAGCTCAGCAACTAGAGCAGACGCAGCAGAGGACTCAAACAGAGGGTCAGTGACAGCAGTGGCCAGAAAGCGCGTGACAGTAGGACTAGCAGCTCGAAGGGAGTCAGACTCTGGGTCCGGACCGTCAGGAAGAGAGGACGCAGGAGGAGAGGGCAGAGGGACACGCTGTGGAGCAGTGGAAGGACGCAGTGTCATAGAGTGAGTGCCAGGGACAGGAGGAGGACGCGGACGCAAAACACGACCATCGCGAGCAGGGCGGACAGGCGACGCAGCACGAGACACAGGCGACACAGGACGCGACTCAGGCTCACGACGCTCCGCAAGACCTCTAGTCGGTCCAGAGTAAGGAGAAGGACCAGGCAGTGGAGAGGCCGGCCGGAACTGCGACTGTGACGGGACAGGCGGCGGACTCAGTAAGGGAGGAGTAGGACCAAGAACCTGCTGAAGGAGCGGAACGTAGTACGGCCGCGGCCGCGCAGCGCCTCTAGAAACAGCAGAGACAGCACCAGTACCCTCAGCTCCAGGGTCCCCAGTAACAACTCCCGCAGCACCACCAGCTCCAACACCTGCAACACCACCAGCCCCAGCAGCTCCAGTACCTCCAGTACTGGCACCCCCAGGACCAGCAGCTCCAGAACCAGCAGTACCTCCAGCAGCTCCAGCACCAACAGCACCTCCAGCAGCTCCAACACCAGCAGCACCTCCAGTAGCTCCAGCACCAGTAGCACCTCCAGCACCAGTAGCACCTCCAGCACCAGTAGCACCTCCAGCAGCTCCAGCACCAGCAGCACCTCCAGCACCAGTAGTACGGCTCCAGCGTCGAGCGTAACACTCACGAAGTCGCTGCGGAGAGAGGGGCTCCCGTCGCAACGGAACACCCGGAGAACCTCCAGACTCAGCACACGCAGGCTCAGCACCCCCAAACTCAGCACCCCCATGCTCCACACGCACAGGCTCAGCACCCCCAGGCTCCGCACCCCCAGGCTCCGCACCCCCAGTCCCCACATTCACAGGCTCAGCACCCCTAGCAGTACCTGAGTCGACAGCTACCTCGACCGGCTCGGCAGGGTCTACCTGAGACACACCTGAGGGGGCAGGACCCTGAGGGGGGAGGGGGTCTACCGGAGGAGTACCTAACGCTAGGAAGAGCGGCGGGGGGGGGGGAGAGAGGCAGTGCGGTAGGGAAAGAGACAGTAGTAAGACACCGACTCGTCAAACGTGACGTCCTGAGAGGACAGAACACGACGCGAGGTGGGGTGGTAGAA